CAAATATATCTCGACTTGGTCCATTAACTGCCTTCTGGTATTTGGCTTCTCGGGAATTTTATGGATTTATTTGGTTACGTTCTACCTTCGCCTTCTGATTAACTTGGCACGTGTTTCTTGGTAGCGGTGTTCATAGTTAACCTCAACTCAACGCCACGCTACAGTACTCATACCACTGATTTGATGAAGCTTCAGTAACATCTGCAAAGGTTAAAGACAGTGTTACGAGCGCTTTTATTCAGTTTACGGAAATTATCGGGATCAAGTGAAAAAAGTCCACGTTCTTGCATACTTTTTCCTCTATCATACGCATTAAATCGGAATAAAATATCGTCACTACAGTTTGTGCGTTGTCCATCAGTCAGTTAAACACTGAAGTCATAAATAAGGTAACCTCCCATTAATCTCACATGTCGCAATCAATCAGCTACAATGTTCTCCTTAAAACTCGCTGTAAACCAATCACACTTAATCAGTGAATATTGAAATGGGCGCAACTAACTTAAAGTCACACACTTCTGAATGGTCCATTTATAAATTATAGTTTTGAGGCCTAAATATGTCGTTTATGTGGTCGACCAGTATGTCTCTTCCCACTTGAAGATGGCATTCAGTGTGGAGGTTGTTTGAGATGGTTTCTTAAAATGTATACCAATTTACCGCCGGCCGCCCTTAAACGTTTCCGTCACCCACTTCATCCTGGGCGTGTAGAGGTCAATGTTTAACTAAAGTGATTCTTTTAGGTGACGTTTCAGGTATTCTCTTTCTGGTGAAGTTGTCAATGGATGCTCGTCCGTTGGTCCCAAAATCAGACGAAATTGAAACTACGAGCTGTTACGTCAGTTCCGACACCTCTCCTCTTAGCCTTGATGAAAGGACTGTGATCCTAATTGTCAGCACTCTTAAAGAAAAGAGGAGGTCTGTGTGAACTATTAGTGTGCATGATCTTAATAATTCTCACAATGTCAGTACTAGTAATTTGCCACTGATTGAAATCTGATTCATACTAAACACTGCTTATAAAGCGAATTATACCGTACGATTTGAGGGGAGCGAAACTCCCTCGAAAGAGAAGTCGAACAGCGCAGATGAGGGGAAATTAAAAGCAAAGGAACAATTAAGGAAAAGCTCTCGGTATATATTGGTGGTAATAATAACAGCGCAATCGAATGATATGGACACGACTTGTGAAGAAATCAAGTACGTCTCAAGTTCAATTATTTAGAGCCTGTTGATGTCAAAAGAAAATGAACTTTCTGAATATCATGCCAATGATCTGACGTTGATGGAATCTACTACTAGGAATGCAGTGCAAAAAGAGTCTGTGTGTACATACATTACTAAAGTAATATGATTCACTAAGTGTTTTCGGGAGAGACCCAAACAAACAAAATACTGAAGTGGGTTCTCGGAAGTAGAGAAAACAAGGACATAATACTGAATAACGCATAAAAACCTTCTTCACCAGAATATTCCAATCCTGCCAGACTGGTTACTTCAGAATCGAATGAAGTGGAACAATTCTCTTACTGAGTTAAGAATTCGAAAGCAAAGTGGAAAAAAAAGAATTAAGTCACGATATCAGTGCCGTCATATAAACATGGCTTACTGTAGATGTGGCTTGTTCCCCAATTATTATAAGACACATCTGCATAAGAAGTCTTCGGGTTATAAATCTAAGTAGGGGGGCCATAATATCGTTTGTTAGGAATCACTTTCGAGTGTATAACCTGGTTGAAAATTACAGACCTATAAATATTATTCTGGTTATATCACGCATAATGGAAAATGTGGTACAAAATCATCTACTTAAGGAAGATATAATAGACCCGTCGCAACTCGGCTTCATAAGAAAAGGTCATGTAGTACATGATTGATAGACTTTTTAACGAGGTTACTCTCATGCGTGACTGACACTTAACAAGAACGAACTGCCCAAACTCACATCAGTAAGTGACCTGGAAATACACTACTTACATTATTCTTTACAAGACAGGTGTGAGACCTATCGTTGAATAATGTTCGTTCTCATTTCCCAACTTACGCCCATCCGATATGCTTGAGATGGAAGGAATACAACGAGATTAAATGTGTAAAATACTCAAGACCGACTCACTCACTGGCCCCGGTTTCCGATGCCATATCCTGGGACCAGAACCCTTTCGGAAAAGAAGGCTTACGTTCAATTTGATTCTCTACTTCAGACTCTTCAAAAACCTTACTTACTCCACATGTAATATAGTACTTCTCTAGACTCACATGAATACGACCTTCTAGACAAAGCATCCACAGTAAAAGTTGAGAAATACAGATCAAAAACTCGGGCAAACGACTTCCTCATCAAGTATGCATTAATACGAAACATACTTCCTTCTGACGTACGCATGGCAGATGAATTATATACGTTTGTAAGACTTCTTGATCAGGCTTTGGTTTGCACTGATCTAAGATGATCGAATACATCTGCGTCACATTTAGATGTCATACACTCTCTACATGTATAGATTAAATTAGACCCTGAGTTCAACTTTCCTTACTTTTCTACTTCACAGTTGTATTAGATAATTTTCCTTCCTTAATTTTTTACTTGAAGTAGGCAGGTAACTCAATGAACCTATCCATACTGCTCAGGTAAACTCGGTAGCTAAGGGACGCTCACTACTACCCTAAAAGGTCAAAAGAACCGCACGATTGACTGCCTACTACCAGTGTTCTTGCAATGATGGAGCCTGTAACCCGTCGACCGGTTAAGATAGCACAAGACAACATCAGCACGAAGGCAATGGGAGTTCCTTCTTGTCTACTCTTCATCAACCCTCTGCTCTCATGTACACTATGTTGACTTACCATTATTTTTATTTCACCACTCGTTACCTTACCTATAACTCATGTACTCCTGTACTTTTCCGCATACTTTGGTAAACAACTAGCCTATACTTAGACTGACAACCTTTAATTTATACTACAGTAAATTAAAGCGTTGCATTGATGGCTTACCCATATTTACGATACTTATAGAAATAGTGTTTTCCAACAGTATGTGAAACACAGAGCATTATGTGAGGTATAAAATTCATCTAAAAATGAGCTTAAATGAGCCCAACATCGCAAAATGAGGGAGTGTGGAGTTACTGACAAGCAAGCGTCGATGGTGAGGGCGATGACTTCAATCTATCCATGTTTGTGGGGCATAGCAATTTGTTTGTATCAGGCTCTTAATGATTAAGAACAAGTCAATCAATCTGTGATATTGAGATTGTTCTCCTACGCTAACGATTCAGACTCATGTCTCCAATTTTATGCTGGATTAGCTATTCTATTAAGACAACCTATAACAAGCTAACTTTGACATTTGTGCCAGGACTGTGTGGCTGGCATAGGATGAAAAAACTAAAAAGTCAGACAATAAAAGGTATAGTTTTGGTTTTCTTAACACTTTACTCTCTTGATACGCCTTTCGTTCTAATAAACAGTGTTCTTTATTCCGACTTCGAATTTCTTTCAATCATTCGAACCTTGTTAAATATCATAACTTTTTGTTCTTTATTACTTCATTCTCTCATCTAGAGTCTCTAATTACAATAGCTAGTATGAGCTGAATCTACTAATTTACCATACCTCTATCGGCTCAACTACAGAATGGTAAGCACCGTTTGACGTCCATTTCCAAGAGTCTTCTTGCTTCCTTGTTTCTCTTTTTTCAGAATCTGGCTCTGAGGGTACAGGTGTGGAACTTCAGACGCCTGGAACGAACTCGACGTTTTCTCAGGGTCATATTTCACACTAGGCGCTCTAAAAACCTATCTTATAACGACTGTAAACTCAAAAAGTTCTATGCATAAATACTTAGTACGACCATAATTCGAACACAATCATGCCGAGATTGGATTTGGTGTTTACGTGGACGCGATGTCACTTTGGAAATTATTTGAAAGACTGTACTAAGAGCAATACTAAAGCACAAACGTAATCAATAGCGCTCTAAGATATCTGAGCGAATGTACTGTTATTTACTTTTATTGGGAAGCATACTGTAAGCAAACTAATGTTGTAGTTTGTAGATCATGCCTGTAAAATAGCATGCATCTTCTCTGGCAGACAATATTTATTATTGTAATCAAGTACATCAAAGGTGAAAAATTGTGGTATATAAATGACTGTACAATCCAATCGAGACATGGGACGGTGGCTATTTCGAGTTCACATTGTCTCGCTGTTGAATTTGTCTCATTTCATTTCTGCACATGGCGTAAAGCTGATTGCTGTCATATCATTGTGGACTTCAACAAGCCGCATACCACCTAAATAGATCTTGTAGCTTTAGATGGAATTTTTGATGGAAGCCTACTATCAACTATTATTCCATGCGAATTTACAAGGTACATTGCGAAGCCTATTTATGTTAACTCAGAACATGAACCTTCATTGTTGCAGTTTGTCTATATACACCGTCGTGATTTTGTTATCAATATTCATTACATATTCCCACTAGTAAAAAATGGTCGCTTTGCATTTTACTTTGAAACCGAGACTTGTTTAGATGCAGCACCTGCCAAAGAGTTTTAAGTGTTGTGCTCACTTCGTTGAGGATTCAAGTGCTTTGATGAATAAGTATTTCGAGCGTGATGCCTCAGAGTATTACATCCAGTCAGCTAGTTTCACCATCCCATTCGAGCACGTTTACTGTTTAAAGACTAAGTTACGGATAGGCATTTTCAAATGTTTTCCCCTTATGTTATCGTACAAAGAGGGGTGGACATGTATTAGCATTCTGTATTTTATATGGTGATCTGTGTGCCGACATGTCTTATCTCGTCGCCACCTTAAATTATAGTCACTTCCGAGGCTACAGTAAAACCATGGTCAGATAAACTTAGAGTAATATTCTGTTTTTCTCGCTGATCGGTCAACGTCTAGAATAACCTACCCGAACAATTGTTATCAAGTCTATCAATGAACACTTTCAAGAAGAACCTGGATCTACACTGGAAAATAGGCCTCAAGAATTGACATAATTTGAACTGCCTACTATCTTCATAACTGAGGACTGAAACTAAATTTGTTCTCCTAATCTGCCAAGTGCCTGGCGGCATTTAAGTAGTCTAGGTCACGAGGGCTGCGTGATAATGAGCAACATCAGGAAGTATTCTGTCTGCGTTGGTCGAGAGAAGGGGTTCAAGAAAACAAAAAATATTCGTCCTAAAAAGCCTTCAAATAGAAGAGGGGTAAGTTGATTTTCAAGCTACAATTACTGTTTAGCGATTAACTAAACAAGCAAAGTTTGCACGAAGTCTAATACGTGAGGTAGTAGGCTTTGCTCCATTTGAGAAGCGTATGCTTGAGTTGTTGAAAAACGATAAGGAAAAAAGAGCACTCAAATTTGCCAAGCGTCGCATTGGTGGACATAGAAGAGCTAAAAAGAAAAGGGAAGAGTTGATGACTATTGTCAAGAGTATGAGAATGAAGTAAATAATTGGAATACACATGGTTATATGTTAACTTACTCTCCTCTTTTCACTATCCTGCTGACTAGTTGATTGGCTTCATCGAATCTTAGTCTTGACATCGTTATGTCAAGGTTTTTTCTTTTTTGGTCGTATACTTGCTTTAATTGCTTACGCACCAAGACAGTGGTTGTGCTGAATATACCTGCTAGATGTACGTGAGCTAGTTACATTGCATATTTTCGCAACTATCCAAGCACTGTATATGATATAGAATAACATCGAGGTTTGCTGACATTTGCTTAATAGTGCTGCTTAGTGTCTTCCGTGTTTTGCATCCAATTGCGTTGTATATTTGGTCATTTAAGTATAGATTTGTGTAACTTGTGGTGCACAAGTGATGTGACGTTGTTGAGTGAAGGTAGGGCTGAAAAATCCTCCTACAGAATGTTTTCCTCAGATCGTGTTTAGAAAATAATACGGATTGCCACTTCAAAAAGTTTTACTACAATAAGTAAAGCGGTTAAGCCTTTTCGTTCTACTAATTATATTTTGGGTCCTACATATAAAGAAAGAACCCTGGAGTTTGGTTTTCCCAACTTGGTCTACTCTCTCAAATGCGTTCAGTATACTGATTAGGACATAAGTCATCAGTTGAGAGACAGCTAACGACGGTTGACCTATTGCTTGATGACGCTATTTCCTCATACTGTGTAACTAAATGTTAACCTGAACGGGCTAATTGTGTATGGTGCAGAACCACACAGTTGACTTGGGTTGTATGACTAGTTTAGACCTTTTCAGGTTAATACTTATGCTTTACCGAAGTGACCAAGAAATACCTTTACAACCATCTTTTTCCGGTTGTTGCATTCAGTACACGTAATAACAGTATAACTCTAGTTAATAGGTTTTTCATAATTACGTTTATAGCAACCGTCTACTAATTTATTCTATACACGTCGTGGAATCGCGAAACAGCACAGTGCACAACGGTCTGGAGTACAATCGACCATGTAGGCCCTAGTTAGAGTATCTTGGTTAATTTTGACGCCTTTCGACTGAAAGAACGCATAAAACAACCTATATAGTTCGTTAAACTTATGAAACTATCAGTTTGTAACTAGGCAGTATAAATGCACCAGCAATATTGGTTAAGATCTTCCGCGTTTTAACCCAAACCACTACGTTCTCTAACGTATACGACACAGACTGACAATTCCTAAGTTTATTCTATGAAAATACTTACTCTTTAGACGCCTTCCGACCAATATCTTAAAAGTAGATTATCTACTGGGGATGACTAGTCTATTTATTTCCTTCCCATCCTTCGTGTTTTACTTTAATACGCCTATCATATGTGGGTCAGCTATGTTATACAGTTCTTTTAATCGAAATAGGACACAAACATTACTCTACAGCTTAAAATGAAGCTCTTTGTTTAGTGAACAACACTAAGTGACTAGTGGCAGTTAGTATTTTGTTTCAGTTTCATTCCTTTGAATAGCGTTTGAAGTAATTATTGTGAATGGATTCCCAGGCGTGTAGCTAAATGATCAGTACGATTTGGCGTACTATGTTTTGAGCCTTACCAACTAAGTGTGAAGTATTAGTAGAGTTACGGTTTTTACGCTCTGACGATATGATACCTAAGCAACGTGGGACCTGACGCATATATTAGTTACAGGGAGATTGGATTAATAAAGCAGTCAAAGTAGCAGTATTTTCTATGGCTATCAAAAAGGCTGAATATACAGATCCTGGTTATAAGGTGGAACAGAAAGAATATTGAAGTTAGGTGAAGATATCTATCACACCGTGGCCGATTTTAAGCGATATCGGCCAGAATTTTCAACCAATGATCATCATTCTTGCGTATAGCTCATCAGTCTGAAAGTCATTAGCTTCATCGACTGGTACCTTCTGTTGGTTTGATCTCTCCGAGCTTTCGTCTGACGTACCCGCTGGCTAATTGCGTGTCAAGGTAAGCAGCGAGTGATTATACACAAACTTGTCACAACCAATTAAATAAGAAAGATTAGTTCAGCGAAGAGTTCTCTTTTCGGTGAATTCATTTTCAAAGCTATACAATCGCAAATATGTGTACTTATTTCTACAGGATGATAATAATACTGATAATAAACTTCTGTTAGACATGGTGACAGTGAGGTTAAATAAACAAAGGTATTAGAAAAAACAATTTAAAATAAGGAAGGTTTACTAATCGTTTCATTGTTAATGGCTTGAGTATTCATCAAAAGATAGATAGGAAAATTATCGTTGCGAAAGGATGGCTCAGCATGATAACCTCACTGTCACCATGTCTAACAGAATTTTATTATCATCCTATGAAATTAAGTATGTATATTTGTGATTGTACAGCTTTGGAAATGAATTCGCCGAAAAGAACTCTTCGCTGAACTAATCTTTCTTATTTAATGTCTTAATGGGTGTATTCCGTTTACAACCTCTTAAGTTGACAATTTATGGCCACATCAACCTATGTACCATGGGTAGGGTGATCGGAAAAGTCCATCGAACTGTTTGTGTCTGTATCGTCGTTTTGTCAGTCATCAGAGCTGACGGGACTTCTAAAGTAAGTGAGGTCGATGCACTCAACAGCTCCGCTTACAACGATCAGATTAGGAATTGATTTCGAAGGACGAAATTCATCCGGAAATTGTTGTTTAAGGAGTTCAGAGGAACGCATCTTATCACTATCTTCGCACGACAAAACTACGACATCGAAGCACTTTAGGATGAGTAGTCTGTAGATGGAAGATCAATATCTGGGAACTTAGGCAGCACGTTATGCTTAAGAGCGTGTCAGGTGTGGTAACTTGAGCCTATGGATATCTCTTTCCGGCTCGATTTTGGTACTGTCTATCTGTCTTAGGGGTGGGTTTAGGATTATATTTGGTGTAAATGGGGAAAGTAGACAACCCTAACAAACTCTTCTTGAAGTCACCACCTCCGAAGACAATTTGCCGTGAGCTTTTAACTTAACCATTTGTGTTCAAACGCAACCTCCGGACAATTTGTGACTGCGGTTGGACGCTGTTATTCATACCTATGTTCGAAAACCTACCAAGAGTCAGATTTCATGAACACACATTGTTAAATCTAATCCCTAATTGGCTTTCAGGTTTGTTTTTATAGAGCGCCTTCTGTGTCTATGGTACTTAATACAGACATGTTAAATGGATGTAGTCGTACGCTCATTTGGGAATACGACATCTAGCTGAGCTTGTGACTGTCAAATGCATTAGTTCAGTTTTATTGGTTAACTTGTGCTCAGTTGTGTGATCAGTTCGAATACTCTACATGTGAATTCTAATATCCCTTTGTTTGGTTGTCTATCTGTTGATCCTATTCTATTATTATACTCATCTATAAATATTTGAGACACGCTGACTAATTGACACTGAATAGTTCTTACTCATTTCACTATAGTGCAAATGAGACAAGTCTCATGCATTCCTGGATTTGTTTCACTACAATACCATTGTTGGATATTCTATTACCAATGTTATTTCTGTTCTAATGCAAGTGCTGGTGATTCTAAGTGCCTTTTTTGTTTTTAAAATCAATTACAAAGACGCTTAAATTTAGTATTGATCTGATACCACTATTATTCCAGTTTAGTTGTGTCCATTCAGTTCAATTCATTTGTCATCGATTACAAAGTGTTTTTCACGTTAGCTGATTAGTCTTTTATGTATTCGATTTACGTGGTCATTTCTTAAATTATAGAGGTAAAACGAACAACTAAGACTCAATAGGCGGCAGGAAAGTTCGGAAAAAGCTGCCGGCTGAGTTGGGTGAAGTCTTTTTTGTATTTATGCAGTCATTACACAAACATCCATACATGCGTAATCTTTTCAAAGAGATGCTCGATTAGTCACATGCAGAAGGTCTCATAGATATAAATTATTAGTTGACAAATAATGGCTGATGATAGTAAAGAAATAATGAGACTAAGCATTCTAGTTACTGAATTTCTAGTATTCTAGCGTCAACTCACGTGGTGTTGATCGAAAACAAGAGTTACATTTCGTTGATTTAAAATGAGTTTTAGGAATCGGTTAATTGAATAAATATTCCAGTCACGCTTATGTTTATTCCCATTGTTGATGTCTGGCAGTTCTCCATAACTGGGACTAGATCTTATGAGAGACAAGCATCTTAAACTAAAGTATTTCTTAATCGTCTTTACACTAATCTTGTTGTTGAAGTAGATATAATCTTGAAAGTACTTCTATAAGAAGTGATAGCTAAACGAACGATGTTGTCAGCGTAGTACATTAATTGATTTTCGGTCCACCAATTGAAATTATCGACGAGCTTTTTCGGGTTTGCAAAATTCTAGACAGAGACTTATGACTTTAGATAGTTTGTTGTATGACAAAAACATAAAAATAATATTTCTACCGCATGAAGTGTGACAGATCAATTTAGTTCATTTATAGAAATCAAGCAACATATATCGGTAGTTCGTCAGTTGTACGATAGGATAAAACGTTCAACATCAAAACCCTATTTTTTCAGTGGAAGATTTAATTTAGGTTTCATTTATATCGGACATTCCGGCAATGACTCGTTGTCATGTAGGTGTGTAAGTAGAATATCCACTAGTTTACCTAGACAAGGGTAATTACTTAAAATGTCCATGGTTTAAGTTTGATGATTTAGTACATAAATATTATATGAACAGTAGGATACAGAAACTTAACCCCAACTAACTTTCATATTGAAAAGATTTATGAGGTAATACAGAACGAAAGCTTTTGGAGTCAGATCAAACTATGGGTTCAACTCTACAAGCTACTTATTGAAATCTAACGGTTCTATGATCAGTATTTGTGTCTAGATTCATCGGCTCACAAAACTGAAGGGTCTCAAAATCCAAATTAAGCTTACACTACACACTATAGCTTTAGTAGAGTAAAAAATAGTTGCCTTTATGAACTGTTTAACTGGGCGGTGCTTTAGTTCCTACAAATCCTCTACTTAGCGTACAAGCAATACATTAACTTGAACATCATATTTAGCATTGACC